AAAAAATATTAACTTAAATTACCCGAAATATTATTAAATTAAAATTTAAATATTACTAAATTATTCGAAATATTACTAAATTACCCGAAATATTATTAAATTAAAAATTTTAAAATATTACTAAATTATTCGAAATATTACTAAATTATCCGTTGTTTGAAATAATTTTCTAAAATTATGTCATTGTCACATAAATTTTCCAATTTACTAAGAAAATAAAATTATAAATTTATCTATCAATAAGAGTGTATGTTTAATAAATATTTATAGAAATGAAAAATTTTATTAAAATTTAGGTGCCCAATTAACTCCAATATATGCGCTAACATTACCAATTGCTATCGTATGGACAGAAAAACATACCAAGAAAACTACTCAAGAAAATCATCAAAAAGTTTTGGAATTAAATGGCAATGAAGCAGCTAATCATTATTTTGTATATATTTTAATGCATTTTTATCATTTTAATTTTTAATTTTTTTGAAAAATTTTATTTCATTTTTTTCTGATATTAAAATAAAACATTTAATTGTTTCATTTTCATTTAAAAAATCACACGAAATGATGAACTAAAATGATAGAAGTAAGTTTGAAGTTTTATTAATTTTATCATCAAAATTATGAGGATAAAATGGTAAGGGATGCTTTTTGATGGATAAAATAGTGAAACAAATGTTATATTAGAAAAAAATTTCAATTAAATTTAATAACTTAATTTGAAATTTCATTTTAAAAATCCTCATAGCATCAATATTTTTATCTAATCCAATAACAAAATGCTTTCATTTTACTTTCTTCTTCCATTTATTGTCATTACAAACTTAATTCAACCATAAAATATTCCATTCTCTTAGTTTATTTTTAAAAGCAAAAAAAAAAAGAAAAATTATTTTTCTCTTTTCATTTTTAAAATAATTTTATTTACATTCAATTACACTTCCCATTCTGTGCAATAGACTTTAGCAAATTATCACTTTTGTTTGCAAATTGATCGTTTAATATAAAAGGAAAGAAAGAAAAAAAAGTTACTTAGTTGTTTGTTTAAATATTCTTTTGCATAATTAGAAATGTTAATGAAAGCTATTTCAACAAATTACTTTCTTTATAAACAATGCTATAAAAATATTAATTGGATCGAATTTTGCAGTGAATTTTTAAAAATATAATTTGCAATTTTTTTTTTCAGACAATTTTTGAAACACCTGAAGAAAGGAATGTTCGAAAATTGCAAGGAGGATCATTTAGACAGTGTTAATAGTTTTCAATAATTGAATAACTATTTGAAAAAGGTGAAAAAACTGATTGAAATTATAAGTTATGTAAATTTGAAAATAATGTATAAACGATAATTTTAATGAAATAAAAAATGTTACAACTTTTAATCGATTGTAATTAAAGATATTTTCATTTGAAAATATTGTAATGGAATATTTTCATAATAAAATATATTCTTAAAACAACTGTAGAAATTGCATTAAAAAAAGAAATGTTGAAGCTATGAATGAGTTTATACTTTGACATTTTTATTTGTTTGCAGGTGACAATTGCCAAAAAAATTAAAAACCGCTTGTTTGTTATC